TAGGGTGGGTAGGGTGAGGGCGGTGGGGGGAGAGGGGTATGGGTTGGAGTTGTGTTGGGGAGGGTGAGAGAAAGAGGGGCGGAAGGGAGGGGGATATAAATTTAGTATTTATTGTGACACTTTCTTTTCTTTCATATTTATCTACATACATTTTAATCTTGTATATTATACTTGTGTACGCAAAAGCAAACACAATATTATACACTTGTAAATTGCCATATACTACTACTACTACTACTACTACTACTACAACTACTACTACTGCTACAACTACTACTACAACTACTACTACTGCTACTACTACTACTACTACTACTACTACCACCACCACCACCACCACCACCACTACTACTACTACTACTACTACTACTAGTTACTACTACTACTTCTACTACTTCTACTACTACTACTACTACTACTACTACTACTACTACTACTTCTACTACTACTACTTCTACTACTACTTCTACTACTACTACTACTTCTACTATTACTATATTACAACTGCATAAATAATAACTATAAAATAATAATACAATAATATGGTCATATAAGAGCCGAAGAATAGAGGAGTTACAAGAGAGTAACAAACACAAAAAAGAAGGAGAGGAGATAAGGGCAATAGGTGTTTGATAGTAAAGAAGAAGCAAACTACACCAGAGCACCTGCCAACCACAAAAAGTGCTTTTTTTTAAATTTAAAAGAAACAAATAATATTAATAATAATACATGTATATAATATCAATACTATTTTTTGGTGAGAAATAATTTTTTAAAAGAAAAAAAAAAGAGAGGCCTGGATAGCGCCAGGGGCCTTGAGGGAGTCGAACCAGAGACACTAAAATATAGAGACAGGAAACGAGGCCTCTTTTCGCGTATCCAGGTCATCAGCTGATTGTGAAACGAGGCGCGGTAAACAAAGCTAATGGCGGCTGTCGGCAGTCGGCAGTCGCAAGTCACCTGCAAGTGTAAGTGGTGTTTTGCGGCAGTCTGCGTCCGTGCCAATTCCAGATCGCATAAATACCAGACCTAGCATTATTTAGCTTTCCAAAAGATCCTGAAATGTAAGAATTTGCACTTGTACTTTTTCATTAACCTTACTTGATATCGTTTTTCTCTTGTGTAGGCCTAACTAGATCTATATCTAGATCTAGATTAGAGATCTAGAATCTAGATCTACATCTACATCTACATCTAGATCTAGAGTCTAGATCTAGAATCTAGACTAGATCTAGAATACCTAGACTCTAGACCTAGAATCCTAGAGATATAGATATCTAGATCTAGATCTAGATCTCTAGATCTAAATTAGATAATAG